TCGACATGGAAAGAGCGGCCGGCGGCCAAAGATATGGAACTCCACAATTGGGTTGCCTTTCCTTCCACTTCCAGCACACTGCACCAGCGGAGCCGCCCTGTGCGCCAGATGCCTTTAGCCCTGTCCAGTGCCGTCAGCCCGGCATGCCTTGCTCAGCACTCCGAGGTTGACGGCAAGACGGGAAGGGGGGGGGAAGGAGAGTACCTGCCTGCCTGTGCCTTTCAATGCTCCTTCCATCTCAACAGCCTCGACAGCCTGCCCGGACTGCATTCCACAAATCAACGGCAAGTCGATGGTCAGGTCTGGGCTGCTCTGGCCTTTTCCCCAGGTGAGGTACCTACCTAACTCCTTAGGTACCTTTCTTTACCCGACTCTCAGGTGGTTATCAATTTGCAGCTTCCATTTTGATAACTGCATCCCGTTCCCGTCCCTGATAGCAATCGGAGAAGCAATGGATCCAAGGTGTTGCTAATTGCAATTGTTGCCACTCATAATTGATTTTCTCTGCCCGTTCCCTCCTCTCGTCCCGCGTCAACCCGCATCAACCAGACTCGCCCCGTTTGTTCCTCTATTTTCTCCTCTCCTCTCCCGTTGTGTCCCCCGCCTTTCGTCTCCTCTTCGCGAGCATAACGCGGTAGTAGCTCATGTCCGCCCAAGCAGCCATTACACATGGTCAAGTACCCAGGTACCCCTAACCCGTCAAAGTGCCTCCGGCCTCCCTTTTCGACCTCTCGCAACAGGTGCCTTCGCCAAGCCAAAGTATCGTGTCCCAAGCTAAGTCAGTCAGTCAAAATGTCCCAGGTCTGGTCTTCTGCCGCGTCCCAGTCCGGCTAGGCTTACTTCATTTCAGAGTCTTAATGTTCCAGATGACTTTCTAGAACGGACCGAACACGCCGTCGAAGGAATGAATTTCCACCGCAGCCCTGTTTGAGCGAGCTTGAAGCCGCAACCGACTGGCCAATATTCCACGTACAGCCCCGAGCTGAAAGAGCCTTCGCAATTGCTTTCCATTAAGCTTGTGCTACATCGAAAAGGACCTTGGGAAATCATCGATATCCTCCGGTTACCTAGTTGTGTGGGGGCCATGCCACGGCTCCCCTCCGAAACCGCCGATTGATAGGATCCTCTTGGGACACCGACCCCGCCAGCGGGACATTCCTTTCCTAGGGTATCCGTCCGTCGACATGGGCGAAAACCGCGGGGGTGGGTTGGCGGTCGATTCGGTTGACAAGGTGGATGAGTCAAGCCGACAACCAAAATGAGAAATCAACATCAACTTGGAACGAGGCATTGGCTGCCACCAACAGGATTCCTTACATCTTTGGAAATCGACACACTTCATGCCGATGCTTTTCTCACACTCGCCTGCAGCAAATGATTGCCTTTGCCGAGCCAAGAAGCGGTTCTGCAATCTCTGCGCCGGCCTGCCCACCCGTCCGCCCCAAAGTCTTTTCCGCAGCTGCCTTCTCGACCTGAAATACCAAGTCCATCTGCTGGGTTCTGGCTAAGAGTACGCCGCAAATCATTGTCAGGGTCTGGAATGTCTCGGGACGTCCCCCGCGAATTGTACTCAACCCCTGTTTTTACTGCCTCCATCAATGCAAAAACCGGCATCCGCCAGCAACATACAGGCGAGTACGAGCTGCACCTACGCTCAGCTCTGCGACTATCAGACACCATTGGCCGTGTTCCCGCTCTTGGTCCTCGCGTGTCCAAATTCGGTCTGATTTTACCCCCCTTGCTCGTGGTAACGAGCTTGCTTTTGAAAGAAAGCGCGCCCCTGCGATATTGGCTACATAGTCTACCCTATCAACTTTCAAGATCCGGGGTTCATGTTCTTGCTCGGCCGGCCGGCATGCCTGCAATACCACACAGTCATTTTTACAGGTTACCAATTGACCGGCTTCGCCATATCACGGCCTACAGCTGAGGTAAGAAAAGGATTCTCAAGCTGACTAACTCTCTTGCGCCCAAGAGACGAGGTTCAGGTTAGATCAGGATACACGAACAGCGCAGCCCCAACGAATGTAGCAAAGCAACTCAGCACTTGCAGATTCAACGGATGCACGCCAGTCCGGGAACAAGCGCTTACGTTCTGCTGTTTCTGTGCCTCTTTCCCCCGTACTTGTCCGGCTTTACACGGACACAACCACCTCTAGCGGTATGGCTCAGCAGCAGCTTGTAACTGCGTAAGGTCGTGCGACGTGGGTTGACTAGATACTCCAACTTGCGACTCTGGTCTCTGCAGCGATCTGTCTGCGGGCCGCTATCTGATGGAAGTATCAGTACCGACACAATGATTGCAACCTCGTGCTTACTTGGGAGGCCCTGCGAACCGCAGCTTGACGTAGCATAACAAGATGCCTGCGCCATGATTCAGAGACGTTGCCAACCTACAACTCCGCCATTTCCCCCACGCACGGCGCAAGATGGAAGCCGGCGTGCAATAAGCGACAATCCTCCCCCGCCGTTCATCTGCTGTGGAGCAGCCGTCCCGCCGCTACGTAACTGGTGGAATCCACTACGTCAACCGCTCTCTCCACGTCCCTCGTCCTCCCACTCAACACGGGGGCCTTCCCAACTCTGTCCCCATCCGATCCGACGTAGCCCAGCGTTCGAGACATGGCGGTTTTGCGTCAACGAGTCATTAGACTCAACGCCATGGCTCCAACCGGGCTTGAACACCACAAGCTCGACTAACGTAGCAGTCCACAAGAAACATGGAACCTGGCCAAGGTCGTCAACAATCACTACTTGCGATGCGCCCACGCAGCGTCAGGGTAACTTCATTTCAACGTCCAATGACGACCGACGTCTCCAAGGCATGAAGGTTTTGGTCTCCCCGAGGCACATGGTTGACATGTTCCCAACAAGACCGCTCAATGCAGCAATTCTGCAGTGAGTCACCGATACTTATTGGTCAATGCCAGGTACAACTGCACGAACCGCAGCTCCCCTTGTGCTACTGTACAGTTTCTGTACAGCTCCTGTACACCCAAAGTTTCTTCTGTCCACACACCACACACACCTCGCTGCGCAAGAGTGCGCGTCTCTCGTCAATGTTTCGCAACCCCAACCCCGAGCAATCCTCGTCCGAAGAATCCTCGACCCGACCCGCCGGATCTGCAACTCTCCAATCCCGCGCTGCCTCCGTTGACAAGAAGAAGGTTACTGTCCAATCTTCGAACCGAGTTCCTCTCAGCTTCCACACTACCCTCCCCCTCCTCGGATACCACATGCCGAAGAACCTTCGTTTGTTCTCGTACGACCCTTCGTGCGTCTCGAGCTCCCCCTCTCTCACATGAACAGAAATGAATCAATCTCAAGCGGGGAAAACATTTTGATGGGGACAATTTCGAAAAAGCTTCATGCACAGAACACAAGGTTCGAATATGGCACCGCAAGGTTACCTGTTGGACTTTGGGGGAAATGGCAAGCTCCAATGGGTGGTACCCCAGCTTGCTTGTGAAGCTATGCACCTAGACGCAATACCAGCGTCGATCCATCCGCATTCTGCCGATGAGGGGTAGCTCCATTGCCATGTGTATCCCTCGAGCACGATATAGACGAACCTGCCAGAAAGGGATATCTTGGCATTCAGCGACGAATCCCGAGCTCGGTCTTGCCTCGGGTCTGCAGAAGATGAACATGCCGACTCGGTGGTTTGACAGGTCAGTTGAAGACGTACCAGCGGCTGGCTCTGATGGGTCACATTCAGCAATGCCCCATTTGTTAATTGTGAATCACCCCGGTGGTGTCTTGTTAAATTAGATTGAACTTGGTGAATCCAAGCCTTTGGCTGCCATGCAGTCGAGTCTGGCAAGTTCAGTGGGAGTTAGTCACGCCTTTCAATGCGTCGACCAGCCGGACGTCCTACATTCCATCGACGTAAATCCATTTCTGTACTGTTTTTCATGAGCTCTTGTTGAATATCACTCGGAAATATGTTGACTATTGGAGTCGTGGGTTACAGATAGAACTACAGCCGTAAAGTGAGGAGAGAGCCGCCACGGAAACGCAAATGAAACGCAACAATTGAACCTGTGTAAAACCAACTGCCATGCATGGTCTTTGAGGCTCTGTGTTTAGAACCTATTACTACCGTAAAGACTTGCGTAGTTGTACGCGGTCTTTCGACTTCAGTACTTAGAGTCAACTTGGACTTAGGTCAAGGCCACCGAAAACAACACGACTATGTGACTCGAGAAACTACATAGCCACACTACCTTTCACCATGGTAGAGAATCTAGGAAGAAAGGCGGCCATCCTCGAAGCCTGAGGAAATACGTTTGGTTTCGACTCCTTTGTTTCAATGGCTAATCTCTGTGGAAACTTGAATGAAATCCTCGTCTGAGACTCAAAGAGGTGTAGGCTACAGTGATAATGCCAACCTATCATTAGATACAAGCACCTTGTTTAGATCCAAAGGTGTGGTGATTAATCACAAAGTCTTTGTTTGGGCGCCGGAGGTCGCGATTGGGACAGTACCAGTGAATGTCGAAGTGCGGACGACCGAATCTGAGCCCTTCCACCTCTTGTCCATCTCACCTTTCCCATCCATTCAGTCCAATACCTGGACATCAACTACCTTTCGTCTGAATTCTACTTACAGGCTAAAAAATCTAGCTACGAGGTGACACATATTTCGGTGAATCAGTCGAACTGAGTTTGGTCAACTGCTGGTTGTATGCACCCTTTTGAAGGACATTTACAGCCTCTCAACACCACCTTGATGCCAGAGGAATCTCCGAAATGCAAACAAAACAATTTTCCAATCAGTAACATACCTATTTAATAGCACGATCAATCCAGGAACCGAAGAGTCAATTCATCCTTCCTATCCATCACAAAAATCCAATCGGACACATCCGCAGGCACAGTTCAGGCACAAGGAACAGACAACTATCTCCTCTCGAACACACAACTACATTGCGTACCCAACCAAGTCTACAACATCACCAAAACACACCCAACCACTCCAAACAACAATAAATATCATGATGGCCGCTACAACCATCTCAACCAACATGGCCGCTGTCAATGCCCCCATGGCCCTCGAGTTGGGTGACAACCCTGCCAAGCCGGGCGACGACGCTGTCGTTCGTGAAACCTCCAAGATCAACTCCACGAATTCGGGCTCCAAAAAACAAGGTACGCTCAGGAACCAGGAACCAAATCACATTTCAAAGTCAATTCATGCTAACAGCGCAATAGACACCAAGATCCTGCGCGCCACCAAGGCACAGCGCGTCACCAAGGCCCAGAATACCACCAAGCTCGAGCACAAAATTGCCAAGCGCCGCTCTCGATACCTTGAGGCCCTTGAGGCCTTCGAGGCCCTCATAACTACCCCTCCCAGCTCCGACGTCTCTGACTCCGAGATTTCAACCACCAAGGCCCAGCGTACTATTGCCGAGCGCCGCTCTCGGTACCTTGAGGCCCTTGAGGAATGGGCCTTCCCATTTACCCCTCCCAGCTCCGACGTGTCTGACTCTGACGACGAGCTGTCAACCACCAAGCTGGAGGACGAGACCAGGGCCACAACCACCACGACGGCCACAACCACCCCCGGCACCGGCGACCTTGCCCAGGTGACACCGTGCACCCCCCCTCCCGAGGACGTCAAGTTCCTCGTCAACCCCAAGATCATTCTCCACGGAGAGACTTTTCGTTGGAACAAGGTCGGCGACGGCATCTACCAGAAGACCGATGTGCTCAAGAAACCCAAGATCATCCTCCACACCGCGACCTTCCGCTGGCAGAAGCTCAGCAATGGCACCTACATGAAGGTCAACCGGGTCTAGAAATCCGAACCCCGCATCGTCTTCATCCGCCGCAAGTGATTCGGCATGGCATCAATGGGCCGGGCATTTGATGAAGACCGCGGGGGCTGTAGGAGTATCATTGGTGGAGTTATCGAAACTGTTCGTTGTACTGGCGCTCGCTTCGGCGCTGGTTGGTATAGATGGAGGCATAGGAAAGGCGTTTGAGATACCCACGGAGTTGCAGGTCAGACCGGAGACCCTTTTGGAAATTGTTTATGAGCACGACCTTGAGAAGCACACCCTTGAGAGCAAAGAGGTGTTTAGGATACCAGTCTGTCTTTACAGGTCGAAATTTTCCCCCGTCAATCACTCTTTTGATTTGGACGTCGACAAGCCACAGGCACAGCCCAGACGGGTTGTGGGTCGAAATGATATAGGATACGGAAATCAAAGATTGGAAACCAAAGATGTTGCTTTATTGTGAAGTTGATGTGAGCTCGCCCCTAGTGTTTGTTAAAGAATTTGTGCCCTGCGCTCTCCAAGTATCTGGTCAATCTTCCTCTCAAACTCTGGCGAAGACGTGGGGTTGTTCCGGACATCGGGCGTCTTTCTAGAGAGCAAAGGATCGGGGAAGTGCTCTGCCATGAGAGGTCAGCATCATTCAGTCATGAGCGCCAAACACGTGCATCACGTCTCCTGCATGGAGCCAGCGCCCACTAGGAAGGCTGCTACTCACTGGGATCGAAGCGCTGGTCGACGAGCTTCGCCTTGACGGACTCGCACTCATCCCTGAACTTCTTGTTGTTCCAGTTGGCGGCCTTCTCGTCCCCGGCGCTGCCTCCCGCCTCCGGCCCAGGGGTCTGGATCGCGGAGGTGGCTGCCATGTTCCTTGTTGTATATACCCCGATGGATGGAATCCTTCCTCGCAACCATCCATTAGACTATTGCCAACATATGATTACCAGGAGTTTGAATGGAATGCTTACTTTACCGTGCTCGCTCACTCACTGCCCGATTCGGCGATCGTCCTGCGCCAAGAGGAGGATGCCCAGACCTGTTTGTTTCTGAGATATGGGAAGCTTCAAGAGACAGATGAGTGAATGCACAATCGTTTAGAGAAAAGGCCGTCAAACAAGAATCGATAACTATATCGCACCACCCAAGGCCGTGTCGGGGTAGTAGATGAGTCTCCGCCCTGCTTATGCAGTCCAGAGTAAGCTTGCCGAAGTCATTGCGAATGAGTGGAATGGGGGACGTCGTTCTCGTCACACAGACACAGCCAGACACGGGCCCGGGCAACCCCACCATTCCAGGGTGTTTCCAAGATCCGATGCAGCGCCTGCTGACGCCCACCCTTGCAACTGCCCCTCCACACAGTTCCCTGGAGAGGGAACTTCGCAGGTACTTCCCACCAAGCGAAACTGGCTGTGTGTACACAAGTTTCTGTTGGGTCCATCTCCGCGGTCAAGTTAGCCCAAAGAAAAAAAATAACGACTCCGTTCAAGGAACCGCCGAGCCAAGGGGAGCCCGTCAACTTCATCCTACCTTTTTCCGCGTCGGACCCTACATCAAACGTCAGACACCTTGACGTCTTTCCTCTCAGCCACCCTTAACCTCGAGAGTATACCAATGCTGCCACATTAGCTCTCAAACGATTTGCCTTCTCACGGTCTACCCAAGCTTCTCTCCTCTCCCTGACCACCTTGCAAGCCTCTATCTTCCCAAGGCGGCCCGCGACATTTCGACGGCATCTCACAGTTATACGGCACCAGCGTACGAGCCGCAAGGATGGTCAAGAAGGGCGCTGCTTCCAACGCATGGGAGGATGACTGGGAGACCCAAGCCGACAGGCTCGACGACCAGCCGCAGCAATCTGAGCCTCAGGTCCCGCTCAGTAAGGCAGAGCGCCTGGCCCGGCACGCCGAGTCGAATCGCAAGTTGTGGGAAGAAGCGTACGTCTGTCCAGGCCATATTTCTCTCCGTCCCAGCCCAAGTTCACGGAGCCTTTACGCTTCCACGCCCCCAATGCTTGCGGGACAACTGGCTAACCCTCCTCACCACCTAACAGCGACACTCCAGCACCCCTACACTTCATCGATTCTCAGCCTTCAGTCCCGCTGGCTACCGGCTTCAAGCCCCAGGTCAAGGTCCTCAGCCGCAAGCCCGCACCGCAAATGATCGCACGGCGCGACCCCGTCACTGGCCTCTCCCAGCTCTCCCTTGCCGATGACGACGACGACAAGGCAGCCGAGAGGAAGCCACAGCTCTCGCCGGAAGAAATTAGGGCGAAGCAACAGCGCGAACTCGAGGAGAAGCAGCGTCGATACGAGGAGGCCCGCGCAAAGATTTTTGGGGAGTCGAACCCTTCCTCTGGCGCCTCGAGCCCAGGGACCGTCACGCCGCCTAGAGGGCCGGGCGATGGTAGCAGAGGCAGCCAGCGCGGCAGGGGCCGTGGCCGTGGAGGTGGTCACAGAGGAAACTCGAGCAGGCAGGAAGACAGACGACCCGTCAGTAGGCCTGACGTGGGCCGATCTGAGAGCGGCCGCGAGCTCTACGACCCCAATTTCTCCCCCAGAGGAGGCGTCTCCTTGCAGAAACGTGGAGGAGATTCTGGTCACCAGTCTGGACGGTCGACACCTAGGGACGACGACCAACCACGACAAGCGATCAGAGCACCGCGCGGGCCGGACGGGAGTGGAAGAGGAGGTTTTGGCTTTGCCAACAGAGGCACGAGAGAAGGTTGAATTACTATGCTAAGACGACAAATCTACCAGCCTCCGCCAATCTTGCCCGCCAACTGGATGACGCGCTCCGTCTCGGTCGTCTTGTCCTTGCCTACGTCGCTAATCACCTCGCGATACGTGGTGAGCGCCAGTCTACCCAAGTCTATGCCAGTAATGCCCGCCCAATGCGCCAGGGTATCTCGAATGTAAGAAGGCGAAATTCCATCGACAATATCTGCTCGGCTCTCACCACTTTGAGAGATGACCTCTTCGCCGTCTGAGTCCTCGGCCGAGAAGTAAGCTTCATCAACCTCGGCAAGGAAGTCCTTTTGCTCCAGCGGACCGGGCTTAGTCGCAAAGCCCTTGCGCTCGACGATGATAGGATCGTCAACCTTGATCTGACCACCACCGTTGGTACAGCCGCCAGGGCAGGCCATCACCTCGACATAGGCGTACTCGAGGGCCGCAGGCTTGCCATTGGGTCGCCTTGCGGCACCGAATGCTTTGCCGCCAGGCAAACGAGACGGTCGCGCTGGCTTCAGTTTGCGCACCAGATTTTGGATATTACGGAAGCCGTAATACCTGGCGGCCTTGAAAATCGGGTCTCCTGTGGAGGATGCGACGATGTACTCAATAACGTCGGCGTTGCGCCCACGGATTGTTTGGATTTGGGAGTTGGGGTGCTTGGAAGCCACCGTTTGGAGAGTAAAATAGAGGTTACCGCCTGACGAGCCCGCCGCCTGAGAGGAGCGGTGGGCCGCATGCCGCGGGAAAAGGAACTTATCCAGGCGGGCGTCAGGGAAAGTTGCGCGTTGGAGGTTGGGGTTACTCCGGGGGAGGTCAAAGAAATTGAAGCCTCTTGATTCCGCGAGCATCAGAACCTCCTTGCTTGTGATGACACAGTCGACGTCGCGAACCCCGCGCCCTGGTTTGCCGTCTCCCGCCCACACCGTGTCCGTTAGCTCCTCGCGACTGGCCTCCAGCTTCTTGTCGAAGCACGGCATGACCGCCAGGTGCCAAATCCTGCTCGGCGGGATCCCGAGCTTCTTGCTCAGCGTAGTCTTGAGTAGCGTGCCCATCAAAGCCTGTGGCGACTTCACCCGCGACAGGTGCGGGAGGACGTAGGGATGCGTCTTCTCGGCGTAGCAAACCCAGCCGGGGCACGAGGACGTGAGGATCGGCTTGGTCACAGAAGACGCCGGCGCATCAGTGTTCTCAGCACCGGCACCACCGAGGACCTCATCCGCGCCGAGGACCAGGCACGCCTCGCGCGCGACGTTGGTGTCCACGACCCACGTGAAGCCGTTATTCCACTTGCCCCCGCGCGCAAGCCCCTCCGGCCCGCTGAGGAGCCCGTCCAGCATGTGTCCGGCCTCCTTCTCGGTGGCGCCCCCGCCGACGGCGGCAGCCAGGCTGGCGCGGGTCTGCGGCGAGACGCTCGCGACGAAGAGGCGCCTGCTCTCGTCCTCGAGGCCGTCGACGCGGAACTGGCCGCTCTCGTCGGGGCCGACGATGCGCAGCGCGGGGCCGAAGTCGAGGGTGTTGAGGACCTCGGTGTGCGACTGCATGCTCACGAGCACGGCCTCGGCGGAGGTGACGCAGCCGGAGCAGGCGAGGCAGTCGGTCAGGGAGATCTCGGCGGGGGCGGCGGCGGCGGCGGCGGCGGAGCCGTTGTTGGCGGGTTGGCCGTCGAGGATTACTTCGTGCTCGAGGGACGCATCTTGAGGCGGGGTGGGCGGCGCGGCTGGGAGGGTTTCGATTGGTTTGATGCAGGCGACGCCCGGACTGATGAAGTCGTTGAGGTCGTCTGCGGAGAGGATTGCGCTCATTGCGCCGGCTTCGGGTTCGAGATCGTGTGGAAGAGGAGGTGTTGGTTGTGTCGAGATCGCGGGGTAGATTTTCTCTTGGTCTGGAAGTGTGACGCACGAGGAGGCCTATTCAGTGTAGAGAGAGGATGGGAATGAGGCCGCTTTTTGTCATGTGCTTGCTAATGCAAAGAGGGTCGTCGGTGCCCCTTGTCTTTTGTCTTTACGTCTTGCTAATTCCTCAGCGAATCCGGAGATGCGCAATTGGGCGGAGGTGATTAGCAGAGACTGGTAGAATCGGAGTGTGTGATTGCAAATCCGTCCCCCACCACTGGATTGGGGGAGGGGAATCTACGCCGTAACAGTGGGTGCAGCGCAGTCACGGTCGGGTCACAGCGCTGGATTGCCCGCATGCGAAATCGGCCCTGTGGGTGGCGGATTGGGAAGAAAAATTTAGTGGAGTTGAGCCCCGCGGCATCGGCCGGCATGAGGCACCCCTGGGGAGAGAAAGAATTGCAAGGGGGGTTCTTCACGCGGTGCGACGCGGTGACAGGGAGCCTGGTCCTGTACGTGTTCGCCCCATGCCCAGCTGGGAGACCGGCTGGCAGGGGGAGGGGGACGCGCGCGCAGCGCCTCTTCCGGGCCGGGTCTCTCCAGTCCAATGACGTCGCTGGAAGTAGGTATATACGTACGCTGTTAGCTGAGGTCGCCTCAATTGATATATTCAAGAGAGCTTCATGTAATCTGTAAAAACTTACTGCTACTGTTCTGACAACACTCAATTCGAGGCACTGGTTTCTCCCTATTCATAATGGACGTAAGTGACGACTCATCCGCGGTGACAAACACCTACTAATCCCGACCTGCAACAGGCGGTATCAAGCTATAGCTTTGGAAACCTGGGCTGGCTCTCCATGCAGGCCATCCCGCTCATCATCTGGCCGAGATTCATCGGGAACCTCCTCCGTCCCGATGACTACCAGGCCGCTGCTAACTGTAAGCCTTATCCGTGTCCATTCCAGGAGCCCAGCACTGATCAAATATCTCAGCTCTCGAGGACTACTTTGCCCGATCCCTCGGCTTCGCCCTCCTCACTCTGGGCCTCTTGGTGGTGTGTCTCTCGGGAGCAGTTCCCCTGACATCCGAAGACCAAAGTCAGTCCCTCTTATTTCCAAGCCCATCCAATGCATGGGATACTGACACACAATTAGCACCCCAAGGAACGATATCACCGTACGCCAACGCCGCAGTGGTCCTCACATCCCTTCACCACGCCTCTGCCGCCTTCTACTGCTACAGCCGGTACCTGAGATCGGACCAGACGGCCTTCGTCCTGGGCTGCCTGGGCAGCACCGT